TTTTTTTTAAAAATTTCTTTAAATTTATTTAAAATTTTTTTTAAAATACATTTCTTTATATATTTAATTATTATTATTTTATTGCCTTTAGGTTTTTGTTATCTGTTTATATTGAAGAATTTAATATTCTATCTTTTTTTTTTTTAAGTTATATATACAAAACAATTTTTTTTATTTTTATATCAAAATATCTTATCTTTATTATTTTTAATATTTTTTTTGGTATTATCTTATAAAGAATTATTCTATATAATATATCTATTAATAGTAAATATTAGTTTACTAAGTATTTTGTTTAGAATTATATTATATTAAAAGTTACACTATAAAATTTTTTTGCTAATAATAAAACTGAATTGCTTGTGTAGAATATAATATTCTATAAATGTGAATAGTGGTCTTACTAGCATTAGTTTTGTAGTTGATATCAATAATAATAATAATATTTATTATTTATTTTTATTTTTAATAATTATCAAATTTAGATACTTTTTTTAATTAAAAATATTAAGAACCTTTCTTCAAGTCTTTTAAAGATAACAAATTTAATAATATTATTTTTAAAATAGCTTCGTTAAATGCTTCTGGTTTTAAATATTTTAAAATTTTAAACCAGAATATCATACAGAAATTGCTGATATATTGAAAGAAGAACCAATTTTAAAAGATATTATTACTCTTGTTCTTCAAAATTCAGAACAAGAACAAGAAATTTTAATTAAATTTAAAGTAAAAGCTATTAAAAATGATGAAATTAAAGTATTTGATTTTGAAAATAAGGCTGATATTAAACATAGTTAGATTATTACAGATAAAAATTCAGAGTAGTTTAATGTAAAAGAACTAATATTTTTTATAGATAAAAAATTTAAATATTAGGCTGCTCAAAATTATATACTTGGTTTTCATATTATGGGATAATGATCAATAATACGAGCGTGTGACTTTTTTTTTATAATAAAAAATTTTTTTTTAAATAATGCTAAAAAAAAAGCCTATTAAAATTTATTGTCTCATGATGCAAATATATTATACTTATACAGTCAACTAAGAATTGCCTGCTACAAAGTTACAACTTTGCATCTCTTTAGAATTAGTTGCAACTTTTGTGAACCTCTTTTCATTGCAAAATAATATAAGATCACAGAGTTGCAAGATCTATATAATTTACAATTTAGTTTATTTATAAAATATAGTATATTACAATATTATAATATAAGACTTAATTATTGAATTGCAATATTATATAACTTATATTACAGAATTACGATATTATATTCTGTTACAATTTTGTGATATAGCATTTTTATAATTTATAGACTATCTTTAAATTTTATATTTAAAAATTGCAAGTGTTGCAACCTTAGTTGTATTATAAAAAAGTTGCAATTAATATTTGCAGCAAGCAACACCCTCTCAAAACTGATATACATAATGAGCAGATTCTATATCAGTTTTGGAAGGTTATTAGATTTAATAAGTTTGGTTTATAAAATATAGAAACTTTTTAAGCTGAGCTTTTTAGTAATTTTTACAAAAAATCTGATAAAAGTAGAGTTGACTGTGTTTAAAACTCTAATTATTTTTTGTCTAATTGGTAATTAAAATAAACAACTATTACTATATATAGGAAGACTTTTGAATAATTGGTAGTTTAAATTAATTTAATTTTACAATATTTATATTGTATAGTATAAAATACATTTTATAAAAAATAAAACTATAAAAAATAAACAAAAAAGAAGTAGATAGAAATTTTTATTAGTGTTGTAGGACTCTACTATTAAAAATAATCAAAAACTCTTTTTATTTCAAAGAAGTTAGCATGGTATATAATAATCTAATTTTATTTATCTTTAAGAAGTTACTATTATGCTAAGGGGAGTCACATTTATTATGTAATATTTTTTTATCAGGGGACTACCCCCTCCCCTACGTCAGATTTATTAGCCAATCAAAATTAATATAATATATATATATTATGTATTACATCAGATCTCTTTGACCCCCTTCTCCCCTATTGATATTACGTAATATCTGTTACTCCCCTAACTTCTCTAAAACCAAAAATAATTTTAATTATTTTTAATAATTGATTTCTACAACCCTAATTAAACTTTTTATATTCTTCTTTTTTTGTTTATTCTACATAGTTTTATTTGTACTTTAAACTATATAAATAATGTAAAATTAAATTGATTTAAACTGCTAATCATATAAAAGTCTTCCTATATATAGTAATAGTTGTTTATTTTAATTACCAATTAGACAAAAAATAATTAGAGTTTTAAACAC